TTTCTCCGCGCTGGCTGTTGTCGCCCTGTTGATGACGTCAGCGACGCGGTTTAGTCGGGCGCGGTTTAGTCGAGCGCAGTTTTGACGGGTCACGGTCCTCAGCTTACAATAATTCATTCAGTGACTATTCAAAATTACAACTGCAGGAAAAGAGTGACTTAACGATCAGCAGTGGATTTCACATTTTGTTGCCACTGGTTTGCCATGCACACGCTTTGCAGGCACATGCGCCTCTTCCACTCATGCACCTGTCCTTAGGGGCATGCACTTTGCTTGTGCCCGTGCCTTCCGCGCATGTAGCCGGCCTCAAAAAACATGCCTAAAAAGGACAGCATAGAGCTGGGGCAGGTGGGCAGGCCCATTTCCACCTCTGCTTACGACCGTTTTTCACCCTTATGACCATTGCAGCATTCCCATGGTCACGCGATCAAAAATCAAATGCTTGGCAACTCACATTTATGACAGTTGCAGTGTCCCGGGGTCACGGGATGACCTCCTGTGACCTTCTGACAAGCCAGGTCAATGGGGAAACCAGGCTTACTTAACAGTTGTGTTATTAACAACTGCAGTGATTTACGTAAAAAACTCTGGCGGGAAAGGTGGTAAAATGGGGCAAAACTCACTTCACAAATGTCTCACTTAGGAACAGAAATGTTGGGTTCAATTGTGGTCGTGGGTTGAGGACTGCCTGTATTTTTGGCTTAAGTTTCTTTCTGTAAAGTCATCTGAACAATTTACAACAATTTACAATCTTTTGTGAAATCTCTGGTTTAGGACTTCGGCTGTTACCTGTCAGATGGACTCCATTTATCAGAAAAAGGAAATACTTTTCTAGCAAACCAGCTTTGGACACTCCTAGAAAAAAAACTGTCCAGCCTTCCTCGATTGCTTCCGTACTGGCATGATGTAGATCATCTCTGCCCTGAAGCTACTTTCCTGGGCATCCCCACTGCTAAGAAGCAATAAAAAGAATAACATCCATAGGTTTTGTAGATACAAAATAAAATCTCCTCTTTTTTTCCCCCACAATCGTTGATACCAATTCTTAGGAGAGTATACTGATATTAACCTGCATTCCCAATTATTAGACCTCTGTACATAGTCACACAGAATTGCTGAGTTTTCTAATTTTTGTCATGACCGGCATAGGGAGGGCAATTTGCCTGTTAAAAATTGCAAAGCACAGTGAATGCTGGCTGGGGAATTCTGGGAGTTGAAGTCCGGACATCTTCAAGTTGCCAAGGTTGAGAAACACTGATCTAGCCTACAGTTTAGGGATTCTTGCTGATTCTGCCCTATTCAGGTATAACCGGGCCTGATCTTATTTAGCTTTAGGGTTGACATATCCAGGGCCTGAAAAACTTGAAGCTTTAATTAACACCAACTAGTTTCGTATTTCAATATATTTTAGAAAATCATTTTATTACGTGGCAATGGGAGCTCTTACTCCTCATACAAAGGTTGGCATCGAATCTAAAAGGTTTAACAGAATATCGGTAAAAATTACCCCAGGGACACAAATTCAAGTAGTGTAACAAATATCCATGAAAAAAAGGAAAAGGTTTGTTAATTAGATGCTACAAAATACAAATTTTTCATCAGTCGTTTTTTTTTTTTCCTGATATGCGGGACCAGCTCCCGAGCCGTTGTGTGCTATACGGTGAATAACTTGGGACATGATTAGATGTGCAATCGGAAATAATGATACCCTTTTCATTGTGAGCCAACCGCTTCTACGCGCACTGCCTCAACCCCTGAGATCAGATCGCTTTCGATTTAAAAGGAGAGGGCTGTGCCGTTTCTGCTTTTGCTCCCTCAGCACAAAAAGCCACAATTGGCAGCAATTGGCACTTGGCGGAGATCAGGACGGAGATAAGTCAGTGGCGAAGGAGTCCTGCACAGCAAGATACTCAAGTCTTTTTCCTCAATTGCACCCACAGCGGTTACTTCCGCAGGGAAGCAAATCAGTTGTAAAAATGCAACGAGGAAATACGTCACAGCCAAAACAACATGCAGATGCCCTGGATACTGTAGACTGGCATGGTTTGAAATACAGTCCTCTACATTCCTTCCTCACAAAGTGAAATGACAATTATACATTTAAAGCCAGTGTTTCTCAACCTTGGCAAACTTGAAGATGTCCGGACTTCAACTCCCAGAATTCCCCCAGCCAGCGAACGCTGGCTGGGGGAATTCTGGGAGTTGAAGTCCGGACATCTTCAAGTTTGCCAAGGTTGAGAAACACTGATTTAAGCTGTTCCATTTTGCATCAGAAATTAACATCCAGCACGCTGCTAGGGGCATGCAAATCTGAAAACAACTGAAAACGCTGCTTCTATCTCAATTGGGTTTTGATTTAACTTCTTGTCGGGTTTCCGATCAGAACAGTGTAATTAAAGCCCCACTCTAGTTTATTCGGAAAACATTACTCAGACTCCAAGATTCGCATTGAAGTAATTGGGCTACGATACTCCCTTCAAATTTAGCTGAAATCTCAAGCCTTTCCTAATTACCAATTAAATTGAAAAGTTCTCTTCATCTTTCATTAAAAAAAAAAAATACTGCTTAGCAGCATTCCTGAATTCTTTAATAAAAGACGACTTCATTTATTTGGAAGGTCTATTCTGGAAGGGGAAAAAGAAATCTCCCTTAGCAGCGCTGTTTAATACCAAGAAGGCACGTTATAAAAATACTTAAGATACAGAAATCCTGGGTCAGAGAGATTATGGCTTGATTCCATCCACTGAAGGGTAGGTTCGATTTGAGAATACCAAAGAGTCAGAATAAACTCAATATATCTGACCTCACTTTCTATGCTTTGAGGCTGGACTCTTTCATACTGATGTCACAGGAAGATCATATGGCTAACATCTGCAATTGGTCACTTCCTTGATTTTTTCCCCTCAATATACAAATGCAGACACACAGAGAGGCAGAGGATATAATGAAATGGCTTGAGATCAACTAGCTGAACTTAAATTTTGCGCAGGAGAATCGTCAGCCAAGAAGGCAGAGACTAGCATTCGGTTTCCTTGCTGTCTACTCTATGTTGGCGCTGCAGTTTGAACGAGTTTTTCTCGCTCCGGGTGACCGGATGCTCCGTCAGGTCTTCAAACGATTTGGCAGCTGTGCTGTTGTTGGGGAAAGGGTCCTTCTCAAAGCAATCCTCCTCCATGTGGGAGTCTGTGCTTGGATCCTCTTGGATGGTGTCCATTCTTTGGTGATCCAGTTTTGGGGGCGCTGCCGCCACAGACACCGGCACGATGGTCTGCAAAGGCTGGTGCCGACTTGCCGGCGGCACAACGGGGAAAGGCTTGATGATTCGGATGGAGGCCGAATCCATGCTGCTCAACATCTCGGCGTTCTGCAAGAGAACAAAGCAGGTCGTACGTTAATCGGAAGAGGATGGTAAAGGCCTTCCTTAACAAGCTTGCTTTGTTACATCATCCGAGCAAAGTATTTGTCAGGGTTCCAGGTAACCCCCAACGAAAGAAGATTCTGAAGTTCCTTAAAGTTCCATTTTATTAGCGATATTATATTGGCACATCTTGGAAAACCCGAATCGGAAAGCTTCCAGGTTTCCCCCCCTCAAATGAAAGTCCAAGCTCTTGCCCAGCACTCACATGTCTGTCACATGGCCCAATCAGAAACCATCCCAACTGGAGATGCCTCCCTGTTCTGACCTCCCCCTTCATACACCAAAGCACACCGAGACAAAGATACTTCAAGGATTTAACCACACACAGAGTAGACCTTGGCAGCAAGCCAGCACAGACCAGACCTTGGCAGCAAGCCAGCACATTTCATTTCATTTATTGAAATTTGTATGCCGCCCTTTTCCCTGGGGGGACTCGGGGACTAACAGACTAACCTTGGCAGCAA